CCGATCCCCAGCTGCGCACCCCCAGCCCGACCTTTTGCCACCTCCGACTTCCCCCAATCCTTCCCCCGACTCTCTCCTCCCCACGCGATTTCCGCACGATCCCCAGCCGTGCGCTACACCCCTTCTCCCGCCCGGCCCTGCGCGACTTTATCCCCCCATCATCATCATCATCATCATCATCATCATCATCATTGGCATCATCATCATTATCATCATCATCATCATCATCATCATCATCATCGTCGTCATCAATCTACCCGTGCAACCCGCTTTTTAACCCTACCTACCACAATACCACCCAATCGATCGTAGATAGGATCGCTCCGCCCTTTCAAAACTCATTTATTCCTTTATTTATTATTATTTTTATTATTTTTAAAATTCATTTGAAATTCTTGTAAATTCAAAATACTTAATTAATTATCGACATTTATTTTTCCAAAATATTTTCTTTTTCAAAATTTTCAAAAATAAGTAGAATTAATTTTATTTCTCCGCCTTTCTTCCTTCAAATTCGAAGATAAGTTTAATTAATTGTTTTTCGAAATTTTGTAATCCAGAAATATTTTAGAATTAATTAAATTCCTTCTTTTTTCGTAATTCGAAAATACGTTAGAATTAATTAGTTATTCTTCGACATTTCTTTGAAATTTGAAAATAATTAATTCTTTTTTCAGTTTTTTTATTATTAAGAAATAAGTTCAAATAACTTCTTCTTAATTCCTTTTTCAATTTTTTTTAAAAATTTGCAAATACTTTACTAACTTTAGGATTAATCAATTCTTTCTCAAAATTTCTTTTTCAAAATTCGAAACTACCTTTACAGGCTTTACTTCATTCTTTTTCAAAAATTTTGAAAATAGTTCGAGGAACGAGCGCTCAACAGGCCTTATCAGATATCACATGTTCTGGGTAAGGCCTTAGCAAGCCGAGTGCCTGCCCTAAGTGAAGGCGGGCCTGAATATTCGTCAAAAGCGAAATTTCGACATTTCCATATGTGGGGATTCAGGTGTTGACAGTTATGTACGTTGGTCTTCGAGAGTCGAAGTGAGTCTGTTGCGTGAACCAGTTGTAGGTAGGATAGTCGGGTAGAGTAGGCTGGGCGCTAGGGCGCTCGACGGAGCGGAGCGACTTTGGATACTGTGTTGGTGTGGTCTACAGGCTTGAACATTGGCTCATTACTTCATTGTATTGCTCTATATGGATGATTTCTTGATGCAATTTGTACTCTCTACTTGGATACGACTACCTGGACATATGTGTGATTTCGCAACTTGGTTTTCTGTACATTGCTCACACTCATATTCCTTGCAATTTGGTATCGGAGTTGGTTCGTGATCACCGCTTACCTGGCACTGGCGACATTGTTACTTGGTGTGCTGGCAATGCTTCATGTGCAGTAAGGATACTTTGGCGCTGGTTTGTATAAGCGGGGCCTAGGTAGAGAAGCCGACCGTTGGAAGGCTATGGCAACAGTGTGGGAGTTGTGGCGACAACGGATGTATGTATGATGATGAGAGTATGCTGACGTGGCATTTTTGCTGAGGTTGCACTGCATTGGGATGTGGGTGGTACCGAGGCTATTGACCAGTCATCGAAATGCACGTCGGCCCAATTGGTGAGAGAGCTGTGGTTGGGGGCAACTATCTCCAGATAAGTTGTTCCCATTCCGTATCTACCCTCTCAATCTCTTCTTACCGCGAGGAAGTGAATCCAACTTGAGTGTCCTTTCTTTGGTAAGGAGTCGTGCCCGCTCTATCTTGAGAGACAACATTCTTCCCGGTGGCGCATCTGGCAGGAGAAGGCGGTACCTCCGAAGGGCCCTGGTCGAAGCACGGGTCACGGTCACCATGCCAACCCATGGGACTAGTACACACAGGCTATGCTGCTTTGTCCATTGAGGCTCTTTGCTGCGCTAATAGAAAGGGTGTGCGGACTGACCAGTCCTAATGCAAACGCTCCCAGACCATCTATAAATATTTTTGGAACAGATGCTCCCATACCGTTTATAAATATTTATGGTTGGGGTCCGATCTTTCCACTAGATGTGATCGTCGTCCTGATTGCGATGTTAAATAACTTCTGTGGACTCTCAAGGGCTGTCCTTAAATCGCCTCTTGATCAGCCAGATCAGTCGGAAGTGAGGCTCGTTGCACGCAAGGGTAAACAAAGGGCAGGTTGGTCATAAGCATACACCTTGGGCACAGGGTTGGGCTGTGATTGCACACCTTTGACACCGCAGCTTGATGATGCTCACAGGTACGTTGGATACAGGGGAAGGGGATTCCAATTGTGAACTCTACTGTACATCACTATCATATACATTGTGCATACATCTGCTCACAATAGTTTATTTTTATCTTGATTAGTTGGTTGACAGACTGCTAACACCTAACAGACAACCTAGAGTAGGACTGTAATCTACCATATTCAGTTCTTCTCCAAGCTTCTATGCATAATTAATCAGGGTAGAGATAGGCTAGGTGTACAGTCTGTGAAAGTGTTGTTGATACCGCTTGAATAGTAGCCCAGGTGACTCGCTGGATAATTGTTTATTTATTTATTTTTAGCACCAGTCAGACGTATGTTGCGGTAGGTCCCAGAGATGACTCTAGTCCAGACAACATTTGCGTAGCGATAAATGGATCAGTCGGGGATGAAGGTAAAGCTGACGATAGGAGGTTAACAAGTTTATCATCGCTTAAAATCCCTAGAGTGTTCCAGGCCATGCAATCGGGAGAAGAGAGAAGACTAAGGGTCGAAGCTAGGGCCCGTAGTCTTGAGGCTGCAAGGGAAGCAGCAGCGGCTGAAGCAAGAGTGTTGGCAGCAGCAAGTGGGGTAGCAATGGCTACCGCTTCAGCAACATCTGCAGCAACCTCTGGTCTGGGTGTGTCACCCAGCTCGACCAGTTCGCAGTCAGTTTCTAATACAACAGGGGCCGACGCTAGTTAGATGGCGGATGTGCAGTCCAGCCCGCCGCCGCATCTTATAAGGGAGCAGATGGAGCTCTAGCAGGTAGAGAGGATCCACCTAAGGCTAGAGGAGGAACTCAAGCAGACCACTAAGAGAGAAAAAAAAATTAGAGAGAGAAGAGTCAGACTAAAGAGTGGGGAGACACACCTAGTTACACTAGAGGGTTTAGATGACGCGGCCCTTAACTCTGTAGGAAAGATTCTTAAGGCGAGCATCCTGTCCATGTAGGCGTACATAGAGAGCAAAATGGATGCCATGCAGGACACCCTGAACCAGTTTTTGCAGGCCATACAAAGGCTAGGGATCTGGCCAGCAGCTTTGGCATCGCTGCCATTATCATCGATGACAGACCCCTATGCCGCCCAGTCTGGACAACAACCAAGCGGTACATCAACAACAACTCTATCTCAGACCGTTGCTTCTTCATCTTCTGGTCCAGCGACCAGAACTACACCACAGTCACCACCTGTCCCGCCAGCGGGACAACAATTACCTTGGTACCCCAAGACGCCCCTAAAACCACCTCCAACCTTCTCCGTAGACAAGAAGGACGAGACTCTGGATA